TCAACCTTTCCTCACAGGAGAGATGCTCCAGCCCTCTGATCATGTTTTTTCTCCATGTTTTCTGCATGTAGAATTCTCCCTTCCTAAGCCAAGCATGAGTACTTTCTCCTATTTGGTCTGTGGAGCAAATCTCATTCTTCCACCTCAGAGACTCCATTTTATATTAAACCAGCTGAACATTTGTTCTGTTTTGTTTTTGCTATTATTTGTTTATCTGGATTCATTATTTACTTGTCTGCTTAGAGGCTATTAGAGCTGTTTCTGCATTCCTGCCTCACCTGTTAAACCTCACCTCATTCCTCATTCCTATTAAAATCACTGGATTTTTTTGTGTGTTTTTGAGTTTTGAGTGCATAAAGATGGGGCTAAGAATTGTGTTCTGCACTTCTCCACAAGTTTTATCACTTATAATTAAGATTTCAAAGCAGACAAGAAGCAAATACAACACAGATAATTAGAGGATGTTTCTGTCAGATACTGACATGAACTGCATCTCTGAAAATCTGGAAGGCGGTTGAGCAATTGGTGATGAAGTGGTGTTTTTCTCCAAATTGCCAATTTGGAGATAATAAAATAGATCTAGTGATTTTAACCATGGCTTCTCTTAAATTTTAGCAACTATACATGTAACTTTTTTCTTTTTTGAAGAAACTTCTGTGCTGAGATTTTGTTGCTAGCCTCATCTCTTCTTCAAAAAAAGTCTGTAATTTGCATTTCTGAAGAAGACCAGAAGACCAGAATTTGCATTTCTGAAGAAGACCTGTGTAGATGTATCCAATCTCTGTGTATTACTGTAAGTAGTCACACTAAACTGAATGAAATGTTGTTCATGTTTAAAACCCTTTGCTCAAGCAGTTGGCAGTACTGCCGTGTCTTTGCTGTTTTTGAGTCTTTGTCTCATAGAGCTGGAGCTTGTTTTTTTTTTAGTGAGAGGATGTGTGTTACAAAGATCATTGCAACTCAAATCGATTTCTTACAAATCTTTTATTCTGGGTTGTGTAATCATAGAGTAACAGGCTGGAAGGGATCTCTTGGAGGTAATTTGGTCCTATATTCTGTTTGGAAGAGGGCTGACCTCAAAGTTGGATGCAGTTGCCAAATATGAAATCCAATAAAAATAATTAAAAACAAGGTAACTATAAACATTAATGATTTTTCTGTATATTCAAGTGGAAGCCTTTTTATAATAACATCTTCCCAGTACCAATTTTAATCCTGACAATTAAAAAGTTGTCACTTAAAATGTAAAGTATTCATTTTTAAGTGAAAAAAAAACCAACAACGTATGGCAAAATGTTTATCTTTTATTTAAATCTAGGCAGAAAAAAAAACCAACCATCCTGAGTGATGGTTTTGTCATTCAGGTTTCAAAGTAATTCACATCTGCTCATTAGTGGCAGGCTAAAATCTTGTCAGAAACAATAAAGTCTATCAGCCTTCTGCAAGTCATAAATTGGATTTAATGCTACTTATGTCTGTTTGACCAGCAGAAATCCAAGGAGTTCATGTGAACTTCAGAGAACAGTTAACATGTCATTATTATTGAAGTTCTTCCAAATGTTGTTCACCAGATCCAGTCTCAATCCACTGAGTGCTCTGTGTTGTGTACATATCAGATTAGCTAACCTGTCCTTGTCCCACTGACATACCTGAACGTGGATGCTAGTAGATATGTATCTATTTGTTCATAAGTAATCATTATTTCTGCTGTTTATGTATTACAGTATAGTTTAAAAAAAGTAAAATTACGATCTAGAAGATGAAGTTACTCAAGGGAATGGAAAACTACTGCAGGACTATAGAAGTTGTTGTAAAATTCAGTATAGTCCCTTCCAAAGCATCCGTGAAGAGGCAGAATGATCTCATTTGCTTGCAATGTTGTAATATTTTAATAAAAGACTCTGTAAGAGCCACAAATGATTATTGGATCTCCTCCTACCAGTGAATTGGTTTGGATTTCCCAGCTTGCTGGTGCCATTTCTTGAGTCCTAGCATCTTGGGAATCGTGCAGTGCTGTCATCAGACTTGCACTGAGTCACACAGTGAGTGCCTTGCTGACCCAGGCTTCTGGTCAGTCCAGGGCAAAGTGCACTCGCTAGTTTTTCAGAGTAGCCTAAATACAGACGAGATATTTAGAGTTAAGGAACCAAATGTAAACATCCGGATCCAATACTTTTGAAGAGCTCCTGATTTTTGAGCCGTTTAAGATGTCTTCATAATGCAAATGATCTCCAGCATTCTCTGTTGCTGGTAGCTGGGTGTATCTGACAATCATTGCACTTTAAAGTGTGAATGGAACGCTTAGCAGTTGCAAAACTGGCAGAAATTCTGAGAATCTATCCCTCAATTATTATTTTTTTTAATTCTTGCAATTAATCTGGAAATGGTTTTTAAAGCAACTGTGTACAAAATATCCCAGCTCAAATAGCAAACACCACAGAATTTTTCTACTAGATCTCTAAAGCAGGAAATTTATTTAGAGAGACTTAGAAATGGAGCACTCATTAACTTTCGGTACTGGAGATTTCAGTTAAGTCCTTCGGCAGAATTGAGACAGTTGTAAAGGTGGTGTATCTCTAACAGCAGAAAAGAGCACATGAGGACAGGAAAAGAAGAGAATTCGACAGATGTGTGCTAAGACTGGGGAAACTGAGCTGAGCCTTTCTGCACTATGCAGTGCAGTGACTGCAGCAGTGCCGCCTCCATTACTCTGCAGTTGTTCCACTTTGTTTTTTTGGATAAAATCAGGCTAGCAGAAACGCAGAGATTTCTGATCTCAGGCCTTATGAATCCATTTATTTCAAGCAAAACCAGTATTGTTGTGCCCATATGTAAAAATCTCAGTGGAAAATTAAATATATTCTCATTCTTTTACTTAGATAATATGAAATATCCCTAACTGTTTCTGTGGCACTTGATTTGTGCTGGAGTAGGACTGTAAGAGTGTTATCCCTCAGGCAGAAGGGATGGGCATGAAAATGAGATGTGAATATTGTCAGGCTGCCTGAAATGTGTGAAATCTTCACCAGATAAAAACCAGTACAAAGAATTCTGTTGGGAGCTGCTGTGAATAGTTATATAAATGCCAAAAGTTGTTTTTTCCTGCTCTGAAAGTAATAGCAATAACTCAAGATGAATTTTAGCATAAAAAAGACAGATACTGGCTGTACTTAAACCCTCCAACTAATCAATGGGGATGGTTTGGAAAGGGTAATTATACCTGAGTACTTGCACAAGGAGGACAGTCTGTTTAATAGCAGTAATCATTCCAGCCAAGAGAAATGAAAGAAAGGTCTATTTGTTACGTTTTTTTCTGTGAAAAAGTGATTTCAATGTGTCAGCTCTTATTTCTGAGTGACTCCCTGACACTTTTAGGGACATTTTAAGGACTACTGGGGGGATCCTGTGTCCTGTTGTCATGAAGTGCTCATCATCACAGACATGCTAATGCTTTATTATCCAAACAAGGGATGGGTGGGGTGCGTTTATATGGTATGGCATAGGAGTTAACCTCATCTTGCTGTAGTCCCAGTGCAAAGAGCCCTACAGAGATCAGTCCTAAGTGGGGAAAGATGAGATTCTCTTTGTCATCCAGAACAGCAGCGGGTTTGGACTGCATTAGCACTGATAAGAGCTAGGTCAGGCTTCAGGCTGGCTGAAGTGTAGGATCTGCTGCCACAAGCTTTCCCTGGGGCTTGCCTGCTCCAGGAGAAAAAAATAATAATAACAGCAATGTGCATCTTTAAATACAGGTATGGGAACCTACAAGAATGCAAACACACCAATAATTTGCAAACTAATGCAGGGGTTTATGTGCCAACCCTTTGAGTGCATACTTGCATATGGAAGCAGGCATAGTTTTCACCAGGGCTGCAGAGGGAGCAGAGTTGAGGAGGCTTTTAATCCCTCTGTGAATCCTTATCTTTCATTTCCTTGCTCTAATGCTGGATTGCAACTGGCACTTCCCTCTCCAGCGGCTAAAAAAAAATATGTCTATTTGTTTTTTAAACTAAAAGCTAAAAGGAAAGACTAAAGCCCACTTCAGTCAGTTGAAGTAAGATAGCGCTGCATGCAGAAGGCAGCATTAGCCTCTCCTGAGCTGTAGCTTAGAGCCAGGGATTCTTTCTGTGGGAGCTGTTTTCAGTTTTCAAACCAAGGCAGCCTTTCCCCAGTCGGACCTGCACAATGTAATTTAGGCAACAGGTAGCTCTGCGTAGTTAAAGTGATCACTCCCTCTGTTACATAATGTGGCTAAATGATAGCACACAGCCTCTCGTTAACTCTGGTTATCTTTATTTGGTTTATTTCATTTGCATTATGTTGCTAATGTAACTGTAAAAATCTGATTTGGGGGAAAGGTGATGCATCTGCCCATCCGATGTTTTTCCAGTAGGTGAGAAATCAGTAGTGATGCTGTATGCTGTCAGAAATAACACCCTCTGCTCCCAAAACCAAGTCTATTCTCCTTCCATGATAAACAGGCAGAAACAGAACCAAACTATCTTCACTCTTTTCCCAGTAGCCAGTCATTCCCCAGACAGATTCCTGTATTTGGGATGGGGTTGTGGTTTTGGACTCTGCAGCAATTACACTGCTGAAATTCCCCTTGCAGCTCTACTAAATAAAGCATTTTATTAGCTTTATGTAGTAGTTGTGTAAAACTTAAAAACCAAAAAATATCTCCTCTGACACAACTACGAGGGATATTTAGGTAGACAGAAAGCTACTATCTGAATTTGGAAAGAAAAAACAAGGTTAACTTACAGTGGGATCAAGGGATCATTGCTCACTATGAATGCCAGACCTGGAGCTGGGAAAGCTGAGTTCTACTTGAATACAAAGAACTGAGGCCCTGCACAAACGGAAGTGACCACAGTGCTGCCTGCTAACACTTGACTGCATCAAAGCTGTCAGCAATAGAGGTATTTTATCCCAATTTACTTGATTAGAGACACCGACAAAATTAATCGTTGACAAAAAGAAGTTCCAGCAACTTTGAAGACTTTTAAAACATTTTTATTGCTATGATTATTTTGCTCTAAGCAAACACACGAGGAACCTTGGCTTAAATATTAAGCAAGCGAACGAAGTCTGCAGTACAAGTGCATGTATGCTATATTGGCACAAAATATCAATTACACTTTGTGTAGCTACCAAACTGGGACTTTTGGTCCCAGATTTCAGTTACCAACTCCTAGATTAATTTATACCCAAGGAAAAGTTGTTTTTGTAGTAGAATAATTCAAAACGAGTGCTTTGTCAATTCCTACAAAATGGGAGACAACTCCAAATCCACCCACATTACACAGAGTCTGTTCATTCTTCTTATTTTGCCCTCCCCACCTCTGCCTGGTTGCTGAAGTTGCAGTTTGATTTCTGTCAGATTAGAGCTCTAGAATTTGTCCTTCTGTTTCACTCATCTTTTCGATCTTAATTTTTCTGTATTTTCTCCTCTGGCACAGAACAATCACCAAAATAATGACAAAACCAGCAGGCAGTATCACCACTGCCACCACAGCACTGATATCAACAAGCAGTTGCTTCATGCTAAACACTGGTGGCTTTTCATCAACGTAGTAAATGCGTATATTTTCAATAGCCAGATCTTTCCTATTAACAGAGACAAGAAATGTGCTGTCAGAATGAAACACAGAGTCCCCTGTTACGTCTTTTTCCAAGTAATAGGCTACATCAACTATATCTACGTCCCGCTGCTTCAAGTTATTCTGTTTTAGGTGGATTTGGATAAATGGGGAATCGTACTTCACAGCTGCGATGTATTTGGGTCGCAGTTTGTAGCGGTTCTCAAACAGACGTGTCAGGGCTTCTGCTACATCAAGAGCTTCGAAGTAATGGGATGTTTCTTTGTGCTTCAGTTCGATGTCGACCCAGTTTGTTCTTATCAGTTCATTGCATATCAAATTTTTGTCACCTTTTCCAGTTCTTCTTATTCCAGCTGTGTTCACGCACCAGCAAGTTCCAGCTTCGTCACACTGTCTGGCTTTGAAGATACCGCTGTCCTCGCAGTCTGGATCATAAATGCCACCATCCAGCAGCTTAACCCGAGGTCTGTAGGAGAGCTTCAGGACAGACATTTCTGCCTTCATCAGCAAGCATTTTGAAGTCAGCGTCGAACAATCTACTGTATGATCTGAACCTACCAGCCTGCAGGTGCAGTTGCCAGATGCATCCTGGTCGCATACTGTCCACTTATTGGTCACACAGGTACAGCTCTGTGCCGATGAAGCTACCATCAGAATCAAACCCAGCGTAACCCCAAGCAGAGGCTCCATAGCACAGGTACAACGTGTGGGTACAGCTGGAAGTGGCAGCAAGTGTTGTCTGGAGCTTATATGTGCTAGGGGACTCTACTTGTTTCTACACGCTGTTGTGCGGCTCCTTTCTTCAAAGTACAACCAGACCTGACAAACAAGTTCTTCTAAAACAACTGGTCTCTCATGCCCAGATGCCAGAGGAGCTGCGCTTTCATCTATTATTTCTAAGTGGGCAGCACTGATTGCCGAGATGCCTGACATCCCTGGTGGTGAAGGAGCAACACGGAGGAGGCAAAAGCAGACCCAAAGCATGGCTCCTGCACTGAGCTTACAGATTAGAGCACAAGGCTTCACCTCGCCTTCTTCTCTCGTCAGGATTTTTATGGAGCCCACAGACAAATGCATCTGTAAGGAACTTCCTCCATTTCTTTTGGAGGAAGTCCCACTCATCCGAGGCAATCCTACTCCTCTATGTTCATTGTGATTTTTCCTACCTCTTACATAACTTCTGTATCATCCACTGTCCAGATGCCACTTTCACATCCTTATAAAACTGCAGAGGGCTTTATTTTATGTATGATCCAACAGAACCCCGAAGTAGCTGCCAACTCAGGTAGAAAGACAATTCATCAGTTTGATGAACTTTTACTTAGCATAGGAGAGCAATCTCAGCTTCCACTACAGAAAGCTTCCCTTTTCCTACTCATCCCAAAGCAGTATTAGGAATGCTAATTTCCTAACTTTCATTACCCTTACAAAGTTGTTAGTGGTTTCTGAAGAAATTTTTCAGTCTGAACTTTGAGTAATGCCTATCACACTACACTCCAGTGGCTCCCAAGTGTCTTAATGATGATTTACAAAGCATGAACCACAATTTCCAGTTAGCATTAAGTCATCTATCTGTTTGTCAAATGGTGTCAGACCCGTTATAAATCATTATTTTGAACAGCACCATTCTCCCATCTGCACAACTTCTGTGCTGCCTTGCAGACAATTCTTTTGGCCTGCTCTGTTTTCCTGAGGGCCTGACCTGCTTTAAATCACTACGAGCAGGGCTGCCTGTAATGATGACTTGTGTGTATGTGAACAGTAGGAAGCTACCCTGGCTACTGATGAGCATTAATGACATGGTGTAGGTTTAGAATTGAAGCTGCAGATGTAAACACTCCCTCTCACTCCATAATCTGTCCATAGACCTCCTCCTGTTTCTAAATCAGCCAAAGAAATTCACGCTACTTAGGGCAGCAAAGATGAGGCAAGTTCTTCAAATCATTCCTGGCTCCTCTTCAGACCTATAGCTCATTACTGCACCTCTTCACTTCCCCTCCTCTAGGATAAAAATATCAGCATTGAAGAGCTGTAGGAAGTCATTGTGAACTACTGATACATTTTTTATGGAATCACCAAGTAATTCAGTTTCCCACTTTGAGGGTTTTTTTTGTTTGTTTGTTTGTTTTTACAAGTGTACTACATCCCAACTCTCATGTCATTTTTATTTCCAAGTAATTAATTTCCCTATCTTAGATATACATAAAATCCATATCCTTCCTTCCAAGTCAAAATCTATTTAACTGTCAGCTACATCCTCATGCTATGTCTTTGACGTTACGCACTTCAGAGAGAGCAGCCTTTGTTTTGCCCTCTGAGATGTCTCACTGAGGACAGACCCTCACCAGCTATAAAATGTTACAGCTCATAACCAGATTCAAAAGAAACTACAGCAACTGCTGTATGGCTGAGAGCTGAGCCGCCCTTGTGCTCTGAAAGCACTTTATTGAGCCAAGGTTTTTAGGTGACAGCACTTTCCTCATGCGATGCTCAGCCTTGGTCTGAGCCTCCCATCACCATTTGATAGTTTCTCCTTCCTTACAGACACAGTGAAACAGAATAAAGCAGTGGTTTTTCAGAAGTAATGTATGGAAGAAAAATGACAGGCAATTAAAACAGATGGTCTGACTTCCCTGCTGGTGATGATTCTCACTACTGTTACCTTAATTAAAAACTCCATTAATTGCTGCTTCCTTCAAAGCTGGTTCAGAGTACACAGCAGTGCTTTTAGTCACCAAAACCAAAAAAAAGTAAAACTGAGGCAAGAAAAAGGGAAAGCAGGAATAACTTCAAGTTTCCCTGACCGAGTTCCATAATTTGCCAAAGTAGCGTGTACTCCTCCATTAACTTTTTTTCCCCACTGTAGATTTTCCCTCTGTAAACATGCAGAGAACAGATTTCTTTCAAAGGCAGGAAAGGAAAAAAAGTCAAGTATATATACACAGTCCCTCAAGGTATTATTTTCTGTTACCTCCTTGAACCCACGCTAAACTGTAACAGCGCTACAAGAGTTAATTGCTGAGAACAGCAGGCTGTAAAAGGAATCCTGTAGGAAACACGGAGTGTTATTTCTTTTGTGATCTCTGCTTCCATGGAAACAATTTTTCTGCACAATTTTAAGTCTCATGAAAATAGGGCAGTAGGTCTGTGTAAAACAGCAAGGCACTTCCAATTAAACGACCAGAAGGCTTTCATCTAGGCCATTAAATGCTTTGTTCAGTATCAAACACCATTACCACGTTCCCTGAGACATGAATGAGCAACTTCCCATGTGCTGGCTCTGCAGCCACGCCGCACACATCCCCATTTCCCTCACAGTTTTGCAGCAGTGTTTCCTTTGCAGTGTTTCCTTCCCTTGCAGTGCTGAGCTACACTGCTCTGCCCCAGCGCAGGTGGCACACTGCTTTTCGCCTGCACAGCTTCTCTCTCTGCTACTCAACAATGTTCTCCATGCCCAGAAACTCCTAGCAGATCAAATTCCCTGCTGGTGCAGCAGGAATAGAGCTATAACCAACACACTTGAATGAAATTTGGGTAATGCATACAGCAGTTTGAAAGATAACTTGATGATCACCTTCAGAAGTCACTGCAGTTGCCTGCGGTGGCGAGGGAGAGAGAAAAACTGCATGATATTATTTCAGTGATCCTACAGCTAGGATGCTGGAATTGTTTCTAAGGAAATAGAGTGAAAATACAGCTCTACCATCTCAGCATCCCTGCCACAAATCATCCTAATTTTCTGGAGATCAGAGCAGAGAGTTGGTAAGAACAAATGAAAGCAACAGTATACAAACTACTGCCCACAAAACTTAATCACTGACCGCAAGGCTGCATACATAAGTAAGAATAGTTCTAGCTCTTCGTTCAAAATGACAATCATTTCTGCTGTATTCTGTAGTTTACTTTTTCGTATCATCTGTACCTAAGCTCCCTCTAGTGGTATTACACTGAGCTGAACCAATTCTTCATTCTGACTGGCTTCAAATAAAGAAATAGCAGATGTTATCTTCAAGAAGCAAGAAGCTATTAAAAGTTTGGAACGCATCTTCTGAAGTACAGAATATTCAGTCTTTATTAACAGATTCTTGGATACCATCAGTCAGGAATATCAAAGAAGTGAGCGAAAGGGGAAAAAATATTCAAAGGAATATGGACAAGGCCCCATCCTCACCATGAACAAGGTATAAATAGCTGTGAAAAAGTGCTGCTGGTTCCTGGGGCAGCAAAACTTCACTCAGACAAAAATGGCCAAGAGCTGCATCTTAGGATGCAGGGGTGACTCTCCCAGTTTGAATTCCATCGTTCCAATTGCTGCTCAAGCATTCCCCCTCTCTGGAGGAAATGCTTGGCTAGACGAGACGTGGGGTCTTATATAAACAAAAAAATACATTAGCCTGCAGTATTTGTCCTAAAACAGAGCTAACATAAGAAAAAAATCCAATGAAAAAACACCGAGCTTCTCAATAAACGTATTTAATGCCTTGTATGTGTTTGGTAGCAGAACCGACAGAATTAGTAGCATACATCTCAGAAGCACACAACTTCCAAGCTCATTATTAGATACAAAGACAAAGGACAAAAAGCAAGAGTACTTCTTACCATGACTCCTGCCCACAGAATGATTACTTGCCCTGATAGCACACTATTTCCAATCCACATGCCACACGGTGTGGTCACACAGGATTATGGTGGCACTGCCAGCTCATCGCGTGCCCCCCTCACCCTTCCTGCACTTTGAGACACAGCCCATGGAAAACCTTTGGTACCAGATCACCCTTGGGAAACCTGGTGCCTTTGTGTGCACACGTATCAAAAGCTCAGTTCTGCACAGTATTCTCTGGAGATTTGAGCTGCTTCAGAAGTGAGTTTGACTCCAAATTCTTCTGACTTAATGCGACTTAAAACCAATTAATACAACTGTATTACTTTAACTCGCTTTAATTCTTAAGCAGAAAAGCAGCCAGCACGTTCTTACCACTACTTTGGTAACACTGACATTCGTGTATACGGACAAAGAATGGTATTTACTTCATACTGCTGTTACATATGAGGCTGAAATTTCCTTCTAGTTTATAGGAGAACTACAGCTTTTAGTACATACAATATATAGCATATGATTTTTCTGGAGTATCCTATGTAAAACTGCAGCAGAACTCCTCATGCTGCAGATCATCCAGGACAGAACCAACTCAGGACAGAATGCTTTGTCACCAAGAGTGTTGTCTAAATCAGAAATACAGAAAGCCATGCAGTCTTTTTAATTAGGAATTCCCAAAGATGATGATTTCGAATATATGCAGAGTCAGCATGCCTTAAACAGATGGATGCACCAAGTTTGTAAGTTATACACAGCAGTGTGATCTAAAACTGTGCACAAACACACCTGGCAGAGAAGAGAACAGTCACCAACATTTTCCAGACCATAATCCTCAAATGTGCACCGAGAGAACCATCAAACAGCAACTGCTCAGACTTCCACACATTCATGTTCTGCATCTTCCACTTAGGAACTGACGTTATGAGATGTGATGAAAGAAGGTAATTCTAAACTCTGCAAGGAGTTCCCTCATTAGGATGCAACTGTACAATTTTAGAGCTTTTCAGATGAAAAGCTGAAGATTTAAACATATAAAATCTTAAATCCCATTTATAGATGTAGAAGTAGATATACATACATATGTATTTTTCAAATAAGAATCAAATCCATCTTTATCCCTATGAGTACAAAGTCACGTTCTGGCTTGCTTTATGTTTTCAAATATATTTCTTAGATCTAAGAAACTTTGCCCAAGATAAATCTGTGTACTGAGGTCAAAACTCCTCTTGATTTAGAGGGCAAAGTTTAAAGCATGTTTTTCTTTGTGTCCCTCCCCCCCCAAAAAGACACAATCTTCTGTTTGTTGCTCTACGCTTGCCAACAATGAAGAGCTCGTTTCCACAGGAAACACTGGCAATTAAATGTGGGCAAATCTCAATGATCTGACAGAAAAATATATTATCTTCCTGTAGAATGGAAGATCAGAAAGACTGCAACCTGTAACAAACAGGAGTTCACATTTCCACTGGAAACAAGCACAACTAGTAATGAGAAGACAACAAGTGGCCAGCCTTCTCCACCCAAAATAAAAGCAAGATGGCAAACAATATGCCAAACAGCTGCTGAACACATCGTTCATCTCAGCAAAGTGGTCAGTTCCCCCTCTGTGAATTCACTTGAACTTGGACTCTGAAAGCACTGAGGAACAAATCCATGAGTGTCAGATACATGTGCCTGTCAATTAAAAAAATGACAACAAAATTCCCAACCTGAAAGAGAGAACTGTGAGAGAACGTGAGAGAACTCTCCTCCAAGACTGAAGCACAGTACTGTGGGCAGCTGTCCTTCTTCCAAACCACAGGCTGGGGTATAAATAATTCACTAACCCTGTGATACATGGTTTCTCTGTATGTTAATAGCAAATGCTCCTCACGTAGCCTGATCAGACTCACCGGGAGTTCTTCAGTTTCTGTGAACCATAACAAAACAAAGAGACTGGGTACTTTAACTCTTACTATTGAAATGGGTCACAGTTGACATATGTTGACATAATGCAAGAAGGAAAAGAAACCGGTGGGTGAAATAAGAATTAAAAAAAAAATAAAAATCCAGACTTGTTTTGTTTAAGCCATCACACTGACAAAGGCCTCAAGTTGTGCCAGGGGAGATTCAGGCTGGGTGTCAGGAAATGCTGCTTTTCTGAAAGAGCGGCCAGGCCTCCTCCCATGGAGGAGTCACCAAACCTGGGGGTATTCAAGGAACATTCAGATGCTGTGTTGAGGGACATGGATTAGTGAGAATTATTGGTGACAGGACTGTGGGACTGGATGAGCTGTAGGTCTTTTCCAACCTTGGCGATTCTATGATTCTAATTCACTTGAACATTCATTCCTGTTTTCTTCAGCATTACTCTTCTTTTCACTCTTGTACAAGGAAAGGAATAAGTTTTCTATTTGAGTCAAGAACTCTTCAGCAATGAAGCAGCTTGTTACCTTGCCCAAAGTCTTCCTCATGCACTCCAACAGCTAGCCAAGAGAAAATGAAATCTTAAAGTTGTTTTCCTGAATTTTTGTTTCCTTCTTACTACTTGGTATTTCAAACTGGTTTTTAATTTATTTACTTTAAGATCAATTGAACAACACAGATTTCAGAAAAGAACAGCTATGTATGAACAAATGGGTGATTTTCCTACACTGGGCTTTAAAAAGAAAAAAAACAACGCTCAAAAAAGAGCCAAACCCCACTACAGCAGAAAGGAACAACTCCTCATGATCTGACTGAGCTACTGCTCAGCAACTGGCCATGACAAAAAAGAGCTGACAGCCTTTCGTGGGGAGATGTGTATTATTTTGTAAATCACAAGTTTACACAACAGCTAAATTCAAGAGAATTCGACCACCTCAATTTCAGACGTCAGCTGTTTGTAGGCAAAGCCACATTGTGAGGGGAAAAAAAGAGACGTGGATAATTATTGTGTATGTTTTCTGTTGATGCCTTTTGCTTTGGGCAGATTTTCTGTTTGGTTTGTGCAATTAGTGTTACAGCTGTAGTTTAGAACCTCATAGTGATGATTACACCAACTGGAAAATTGAAATTCTCACTTATGTGTAATAAACACAGTACAGCTCCACTTCACTGGCAGAATAAAGGACTAGGATCAATCCTCTCTCAACACGTGTGCAGTTCTCACACTGAAAGCACACGACATGCTGAGATGTCATTCATTTGCCATTTGTTCTCCCCCAAAAAGGAGGCTAAAATTTAGCAGCTGTCTGTTACTGCTATGCCCACTATCTCAAGCGAGCATCCTTATTGTCACTGTGCTGTAAGCAAAAAGCTGCACCACAGAAGTCATTTACTGGGATTAGTCTATGTCTAACATTTAGATGTGACACCTGATGATACTGAACAGACATATTTCAAATAGTATTTTAAATTACAAAGCCTGAGAACCAAAAGCAGCAAACTTACTTTCTGCAGACAAGTCAGGTCTGAATCTCTATGAAAAATTTTATCCATGGGGACACTGCTGTTGAAAGAAAAGAAGGAAAGCAGGAGAAAGGTTAGAGCAGATTTATTTCTTTACTGAAACACAATAATAAACATACTCAGCTTAGAATTTCTGCATACTACAAAGCAAAACATACCTGTGACAGAATCTGTATTTTTCAATTATCCATCTTGTTTTTTCAAATATTAATTCCCACTGAGGCTCCTCTGACATTTGCTGTATTTCAAATTTGTAGGGCAGGCCTGTAATAAATCAAACAAATACTCACTGCATAACATTTTTACAATACATTAAAAATATTTTCGGGTCACAGACACTTAACACTTGTCAGTGTTAAGGATGTTCAAGTGTGATACTTTGGATGGGAAATTTAATTTTGGTGGGTGTCTGTGTGAGGAACTGTGGAGAGCAAGAAGGGAAAAAGAAATCCACAATGTAACAGAAAAATGGCAATGTGAATTGAGTTCTTTTAAGTCAGAACCACTTCATGTCTGTAAGATCTGTGTGGCTATTAAACAAGAAAGAAAGGAAGACTGGTTTCCATGTACAAACTGGCTGATGGAATGTCTGCTACTGTTCCAGGCTTCAGAGGAATCTTCCTGTAGGAAGAAATTCTGCTAGTTTATTGAAGGTACAGAGGTGTGGAGGGGCAAATCTAGGAAATATTCCTGAAGAGTTACTTGGAAAGCACAAAGTCAGGTACCAAAAATGAGAGAAAGTGTTAAATTTCAGAACCCTACTTTCCCAAGATCCTAAGAATTCAATGAGATGAGTTGCATGCTTTCAAACTACACCTCAGTGTAATGAAAACAGAGCAATCGATACAATTTGTTAGTTGAACCTGCAGAAATATTTATAGGTCTCATTAAATACTGATTTTGTTCCTTTGCACAGAACTACAGCACTACTGCTACAGTGTAACACATCTCAAGAGGCAGCTGAGATGCTGTCTTGTAAGATGCAGTTTTCAGAGGAAAACAGAAATATTCAATCATCTCAGGTGGAAAATGTAGGTGATCAAGAAAATGTCTCCTTCTAAGGCCAGATAGCATTCCCATAGATTTTAACTCCACAACACAGGTTCCCACCACTACAGCAGCCAAGTCTTTGCTACAGTATTTCTGGCCTCCTCTGACAGAGGATTTAAACTCTGCTGCTTTACAGAAAACAAGTAAAGCATGGGAAAGAGTTTCCCAGATTTTCACGTGGACGCTGTATGTAAGCATACCTTGCTCCGACTCCTTTCTTTCTTTCCCAGATTGTGAGAAATACTACGATGTCAGTAAACAGCAAACACAATCTTTTATCTCTTCATGCCTT